CAGAGATCGAAGTACATAATTAAGTATTTAAAAATAAGAAGAGAAGACATGTATATCGATATATCACAAATCCTTCAGCCAGGAAAAGTTTTGATCTAGTATTTTTTTTTTTTGAGGTGTTCAATAATATCAACTTTATTTAATACTAGACTAAATCCAGGACTAGAAGTATTTGTCATAAATTATGAAAAATTCGCGCATGTTTGTGCACATAAAATTGTTTTTGAATTGCAATACAAAACTATCATATAATCACAAATAATAATTATCATATTAAAAAATATCATATAATTATGAATTAAATACAATAGTCACTAAAAAAATATATAATTAAAAACTTTAATAAACTTTAATAATTTTTACAAATTTGGCATTTTTGACAAATGAAAATTAAAATATAATAAAACTATTGAACTATACTGTTTATTTCATAAGATATCTAATATCTATAATTTTCTCTTCTTTGTCTCTTTATTATATAGATAAAGAAATGCATAATTATATATATGTCATATTAAAGCAAAGGTACATGAATATATTTCTTTTTTATGTACTCTTTTTCATAAAATTCAACTAAAGTTTTTTATATATTTATTGTTCCTTCATAGGAGGAACAAAATCAAATGAACGAATTTTGCTATACAATATATCATGCTATTGTAATTAATTGATTGATAGCGCTATAATGCCAACCATGGATGATGACGAATAGCTTCGCGACTTCGATCTCCATAGTCATATGTTACTTCTACTCCAATAGGTATATTTTCTTTTGCTGTAAGTACCAGATGAGGTGTTGATTCTACTTCTATGACTCGTGCAATTAAATTACCATTTCTTGAATGATTTACTAATCTACCTAATTTATTAGTTTCTGCTGTTGCATCAACGCTAAAAATGTGATATTATAAATAACTAATAATTTATAATAATTCTAGAAAAAATTTAGAAAATACCAACCAATACTGATGATTACGATGTTGAAAATAATACATATAACATCCAGTATTTTGGTCTAGTGCATATATTTTTTCACGTTTCTTTGCTGTTACTTGATCAATTAATTCACCAATATATTCTACTACAAATTCTCCTTTCATAAATTCTCGCGTTGTTACTATTCCACGACCTTTACCAGCAAAATATCTTACCTAACAAAGAACATTTTATGGAATAACAAAACAATAACATTTTTTTTTTTATGAATTTATCTTACTTCTAAACCTTCCTCTACTTGACACAGCACTTTGTTTTCCATATCACGTTGTTTTTCTTCTAATACAGCTTTCTTAGATTTCCTGACACTACGACGTACTGGAAAGTAATCAGTAAGCTTGTGATTTGTACTTTTGATATTTGTAGAATCTAATGCATAAATTGCACTAGAATGATTATTGTTTGATTTTCTACGGCCACGATTAGGAGGTTTTTTTGAAATTTGTTGTTCTAAATGAAGTGTTGGAGCTATAGATTTTTTAGACTTATTATCATTTGTATTTCTTTCATCTAAGTCTTCACATTGATCATTTGGCATATTAATTCTGTGCGGTGTTGATGGACCATGTATAGGTACTGCTACAGGTGTTTCTGAAACATTATTTAAATATTAATATATAAATATATATTGATTATATAATAGAATATAAAATAGAATATAAGATTATAAAATAGAATATAATAATTAGAATATAAAAATATAAGATATTACCATCTGTTCTGAAATGACCAACATCAGTAAGAATATCATTTTGTACTGCATTGATTTTTTCACTTCTATAAAACCTTTCTTCAATAGGCACTATAGAAGTTTTATTTTTAGAAATATCTGTAATCTATATTTCAAAACCATAATTTTAATAAAAAAAAAAATTATTTTTGCATATAATATATAAAAAATACATGCATAATATATAAAAATAAATTAAAAAGATGAATATAATTTATTAATATTAAACATAAATAATAATTATATAAATAATAATAATATAATATTAATATAATAATGTAATATATAATAATAATAATTATATATATCTGTATCAATATAATTTTCATAATATTTGAAATAAATTACATACTTGTGTATAAAAAAAGGAACTTATGCATACAGGTGACTTATGTGTTGAATGAATTTCATCTGAATTAACTTTTTTTACATTTTTAGTATCATCTAGTTTGGTTTCCTTTTTCATTGGTGATTGATTTATATCATTTTGAGTGGATAAAACATTAACTTTTGTACGACCTGTGTTTTTTGTTTGCATACGTTTTCGCCGTCCTATAATTAAATTAAGATATGTATAAAATTCATAAGTTTTCAGAATATAATAATATTAAATATTATAACATATAAAAGACATATATAATTTTAACTTAATATTTTTCTTTTGTTATATATATTGAATTATGTATATTATGTCATTATTGAAATTTATATCTAATTATTATATTTAAAAAAAATATATACAATTATATATATATCTACAAATGTTATATTGTCATAGTATATGCGCGTATCAATTTATCTATGATTTCTGAAGCTTCGTAAAATAATTATTGCAATAAAAATTATATTATATTGTATTTTTTTTAATTAAAAACAATTAATTATAATAAATGTTATGAATAAACTACAAAATATAAAATATTTATAAAAGAAAATTTAGTTTAATTTATAAATATATTTTCGAATATATCGTTGAATGATTAAAAATGCATTTTGATATATATGAATAAAAATTTAAGACAATTTATTATAAACAAATTAAATATGAATTAAATAAAGTTTTGAGAAATTAGCATTTAAGATAACATTCAAAATGGAGAGAAAAGAAGTGAAATCTATCAAAACATAACCTGATTATTGAAACAAAATCTTCAGTGAAAGTGTACATGAATTTTTTAGAATCATATTCCTACCTTTCACCATATTATCCCTTGATTTTTTCATATAATGAACAAATACTGAATTTATTCTTCTCATACAAAATTCTAGTTACGCGATACGAGCATTTCTTCAATACTAGTATGCTTAATATAAATGATTTTTATTAATTCGAATTTTCACACTCACTATATTTTTTTCTACATTCGTTTTATACATATAAATATAAAGTAACATTTAAAATCGAAAAATAAATAATTTATCGTTGTAATTAACAATTTTATTAATTTGTTTAAAGCATTTTTTTCAAGAACACGAACCATTAATTATAAATTACAAACAACATTGAAATAATATACCGGATATGCCGCCATTGCATATTATACTAGGATACACTATTATTAAATTAGATATTACTTGTATGTTTTGCATATTAAATTATATTTGTTGTTTTACATATTAATATGTATTTTACATATTAATTATAAACATTCTTGCTTATTTATTTTTATCATTTATTTTTAATAATTTATTATTAATCAATTAATTAAAAATTGATACTTGAATAATTGCATAGATTTTTATAGGCTTATAAACTTATATATTTTTATAGACTTATATACATTTCATAAAGTATGATTTCATGATACTAATTTGCATGTTTTTTTACATTAATATATTTTTTACAGTAATACAAAAATATATCAAATTTTAAAATTCAGCTGCCAAATCTTAAAAATTTTAAATAAATATTTTCAAAATATACATAATATTTTTACTAATATTCTCTTTTAAAAATATTAAATATATGCATATATATAATTAAAATCATTATTTATTTTTATATAAATATCCAAAAATATGTATAATACTATTGTTCAAAGAATATATATTGAGATTATATATTATAAATATCACAATGAAAAAAAATTTAATTTGCATGAATAATATTTAAATAAGATATTAAAATAAAACAATTAAAAGATTAAAAAAGATAATGTCTTATACTCAGTGATATTTTTATGAATTAAATATATAAATTTAAATATTTGTATTTTATTTTCGCGATTTAAATTAACAAAATCAAATAATTTTCTTATGTTATTTAGTTGTATGCATTTGTCGCTAGATGTCGCCGTGAGCGGCGCGAAGCTCGGATCGATCGTATTAGAACGATGTTATTTTTTAGATAGATTTAGGTAAGCAATTGCAGAATACTAAATAAACACATATTATTTTAGTAAAATGACTATTTATAATCTTTTAATTTTCGCAGACAAATCTAAATTTATTGAAATTCGCGTTATTCATCATTTCTATATAGAATTAGCTGATGTATTCTTTTCTTTTTACCGCGGATACTTTAAATCAACTAACGATCAGCGCGGCGCCTTGACAGCGTTGCCAAGTTTCTATATGCTTCATTTAAGTGTAACCACGCGCTTACGAACACATGATACGCGATATGCATGGTTTGTTTACTGTTCATTGTGATTTAAAACTACACGTGTTCATATAAGCAATTATTAAAATTGTAGAACTCATTTTATTACGTATCAAAAATTTGTCTCTCTATTTATTTTGTGTTTTTCGTTACAGTGACGTGTGATTTGTACTACAAACTACAGAAGAACAACTAAATCGACAAACTATTTATTTAAATGGTATTACAAATAAATACGTCAATCGAAATTTTATTTGATTAAAAAAAAATACTTTAAAATTATTTTAATATATGACAACCAATCATTTAAGATTATTTCGAGCTATTAGAATTGCATGTTACGTCTAAAAGCCTTATTAATATCATTTACACCGATTCTCGTTTGTTTCACTGTTCGCTTTAAATTTGCATGCATTGTCATGAAAAATGTAGTTACGAAATAGTCGATAGATGTCAGAATTTTCTGCTCTTTTTATTCGTATTGGAAGCTCTCATATAGTTTTATTTTTTTATTTTTTCAAATATCTAGCTAATTTTGTAATTATTAAATAATATTATTAATTGAATCGAAGAAAATATATTGATCAATTATTTTTTTTAAAAGAAAGGTAATTTTTTAGTTAACGCGCTCCTGAGAATGTCCCCTTAAATGAATACATTTGGCAACGCTGCATGATCATATTCTGAAAGCAGCAGCCATAGCTAGCGCGTGTGTTTTTGTATTTGTATCGCGGTGCACCGTGGGCCGGGCGAAAGCCAAGATGGCGGCAGCCGTGTTTGGCGAACGCGTTTCAAGTATATATTCGGTTTAGATCACATAAATGGCTCGATTTAAACGCACAGTAAGTTCTTACACTGTGATTTCCTAGTTCGCACAATTCACCAACCATTCAATTGTTATTGAATGATGTCCATTTGACGAGACACGACACACAAGATTCTTGGGAGGAAAAAAAGTGTCTCGTGCACTGTCATAGTCAGCATCTTCAACTACACAGTAAAGATAATTATTCATCGTCGGTGTTTCATCGAGATATCGTGTTTACCTTCTTCTGTAATCGCAAGGAGTTTAAAGGAATCTTCTGTCATGGTGAGCTTTTGTTTACAGTAGTTTCATTGATACGTTTAGAAGAAAGCGCGCTTCTTTCATGCAGTGCGTATTTCTTTGTGCATTTCTTAGCACGACTAACCTATAGATGCGATGATTTTGTATATGAATATATATGGTTCTCCCTAATGTAATTTTAAATAACATACGATTCTGCCTTTCCTTATTTTATATCTCTCCCGCTTTTTCCTGAAATTAAACAAGTTCATAATCTCGACATCCTTGTTATTTTTTTCACTTTTTTGTTCACTTTTTTTTTAATCAAAATATAAATCACGGTATTATATCGGTATATACGATAGTTTTCGACATTTTTGTTTTTAGATTTAATATATATTTATATTTATGGATAAAAATGTAAGATAATTACATGATATTTTAAAAGTATAAAAAAAACAAAGTATGGATCAAATATAAAAATATATTGAAATATACGCTTGATCCATTGTTTTATTATAATTCGAGAATGCCGATAATGATGATAATAATTTAAATAATGATTTTATTTTTTGAATAATAATAAATTAACACATAGTAATGATATTATGTGCTTTAAAAACATTGAGAAAATTTTTCTTAGTCAACTAAAAGGGATAAGGACGCAATGAATGAAGATAGCAGCAGTGATGAAGATGAAGATCCCGATAACATGGGTGTACCTGGTAAATATTTCATATTTTGAATAAAAAATAATTTAAAAAAACAATAATATATATATATATAATATATATATATATATATATATTATATATATTAATATAATTTTCATTAGGTGGTGGTAAAGATCTTGCCACTGCTACTGGAATTGCAAATATTAAAGATGAGAAGCCTGCAGATGCACCATCTAATGTTATGGCTAAAGGACAAGGAGCATTAAATAGTAAGAACTATTTTAATAAACAATATTATAAAAAAATATATTCTTGATCTTATTTTATTTTTCGAACAGTGTTAAATCAGAAGTTTGGTAATAAAATCCCTGGTGGATTGGTAACTAAAACAGCAACACCTGGTTATGAAATGGTACGTGTAGGAGGATCACAAGGTACACCACCTGGTTTTGTTAATGCAAACCAATTAGGTCAATTAGGTCAATTAGGTCAGTTAGCTGCTGCTGGTGGACCATATTTTCCACCAGGGTTAGCAACTCTTGCAGGTTTCAATCCTGCAGCCTTTTTTCCACCAAGTAAGTATAAAATATTTTTTATTAATTCTTTTTAATGATAACATCAAATTAATTCATTTTATTTGCAATAAGAAACAATATATTATGATCAATGTATGTATGAGTTAATTATGCACATACATTATTGTTTTGCAACTAAAATGTATTTGTATAATGAATTTATATGTTTATTGTTCCATTGTATTGTATATAACATTAATAATAGTAATGTAAATGCGATTAACTATTATATTTTAATTATAATTATTTTAAATAATACTATTTTTATCATAATTACTAAAAAAATTACTAAAAACAATTTTATATTATATTTATTATATATTTTAGACATGGATATGAGCTTAATGAGTGGTTTTATGGGTATGCCTGGAATGAACATGGGAGTTAATCCTCTTGTACAATTGTTAAACCAAAATGGTTTACACCCAAATTGGCCAGCTGGACTATCAGGTATTGTTCACATTTTAATATTTTTTAAATTTATATTAGAATTAATTATATTAGAAATTAAAGTATATCGTTTATATCGCTAATTATATCAATTATAATAAATTTAATATTATTAATTACTGTATAATAAAATTATAATGTTATAATATTTAATAATATATTATAATATTAATTTGAAATATTATTTTAGGCAAAGGTATGGCTCAATTATGGATGAATTCTGGAGATCCTGCAAAAATGAATATACAACCAACTATACCAGAAGAAGAAGAAGTGGATGATGAAGATATGGGTGTTGCGGAAACATATTCTGATTATATGCCAACCAAACGTATTTAATTTTATTTTTGATATATTATGTAAAATATGTTATGTGATATTATATAATTTTTGAATTAATATGATGTTTTATAGTTAAGCTCGGACGAAAGCATCCAGATCCTGTCGTGGAAACCGCATCATTATCTAGTGTTGAACCAACAGATGTTTGGTACAAACTTTCGATTCCTGAAGAAACGATACGAACTGGAGCTTTATCCGCGTTGCAACTTGAATCAATAACATATGCGTCCCAACAGCACGAACATCTCTTACCAGATAGTACGCGTGCTGGTTTTCTTATCGGTGATGGTGCAGGAGTCGGCAAAGGACGAACTATAGCTGGAATTATATTTGAAAATTATTTGAAAGGAAGAAAACGTGCTATTTGGGTATCAGTTTCAAATGACCTTAAATATGATGCTGAACGTGATTTAAACGATATCGGTGCATCAAAAATTGAGGTACTTATTTAAATTAAAAATATTTTATTGAATTTTATATATATTTATATTATATAAATTATTAATTGCTTATAATTTTAATTTTGAATATAAACTATAAATTATATTCTTAGGTTCATGCTTTAAACAAATTTAAGTACGCAAAAATTTCGTCGGCAGTAAATGGCAACGTAAAGAAAGGAGTAATATTTAGTACATATTCAGCTCTAATTGGAGAATCTTCTCAAAGTGGTGGAAAGTATAAGAGTCGATTGAAACAGCTTTTACAATGGTGTGGTGAAGATTTTGATGGATTAATTATTTTTGATGAATGTCATCGGGCTAAAAATTTATGTCCTACAGGAAGTTCAAAACCTACAAAAACAGGTATATGTATTAAATATATTATTTAAATTAAAGACATACATATATATTTAATATTATATTTAATATATATCATATTCTATTGATATATTCTAGGTTTAACAGTCTTAGAGTTGCAGAATAAGCTTCCCAAAGCTAGAGTAGTATATGCCAGTGCTACGGGTGCTTCTGAGCCCCGTAATATGGCCTATATGGTTCGATTAGGTATGTGGGGTGAAGGAACACCATTTCCTGAATTCAATGATTTTATTACCGCTGTGGAAAAGCGTGGAGTTGGTGTAATGGAAATTGTAGCAATGGACATGAAACTTCGAGGCATGTACATCGCTCGACAACTTAGTTTTCATGGTGTAGCTTTTAAAATAGAAGAAGTACCATTATCCAAAGAATTTACTGACATCTATGATCGTTCCGTTCGTCTTGTGAGTATTAAAATAAAAACTCTAAATTAATAAGTAATAATCTCTTAAATAATAAATTTTTACAGTGGGTTGAAGCAATGCATAGGTTTCAAGAATCAGCAGAATTGTTAGATGCTGAAAATCGTATGAAAAAAACTATGTGGGGACAATTCTGGTCATCCCATCAACGTTTCTTTAAATATCTGTGCATTGCAGCTAAAGTGAAACATGCTGTAGCAGTTGCACGAGAAGCCGTGAAATGTGGAAAATGCGTAGTTATCGGTTTACAATCTACTGGTGAAGCTCGTACGTTGGAACAATTGGAACGCGATGATGGTGAATTAAGCGATTTCGTTTCCACTGCAAAGTAAATTTATCGTTTAATTTTTTACATATTTAAATACAAAAAAATTATCTTTTACATGAATTTTTTTATTTTAGAGGAGTGCTTCAAACATTAGTAGAAAAACATTTTCCAGCATCAGATCGTAATCACATACAACGAGTTCTTGGTATTGAACCATCGAAAATGCAAAGATTAGACGATCTCGATGATATTGATGGTGCAGGTGGTTCTGCAAGTGGAAGTAAAAGAAAACCAATACGACAGGCTGCTCAACGGGCTTCAAAAAGAGTTCGTACATTTCCGTCTGATGACGATTTTACGGATGACGAAAGAAATGGTGGACATAGTTCTGGCTCAGAATATAAGCAAAGTGGTAGTGAGAGCGAGGATGATCACAAGACCGATGAGGAGAGCAATATCACTTCAGATTCTTCTTTTAATTACAGTGAATCAGACTCTGGTAAATATCACAAATCATTAAAATTAAATTCGATTCGAATGTAAAATAAAAATATTTTAATTATTTATTATTTACATTATAGATTCAGGTGATGGAAGGCGAAGGAAGAAGGGCGCTAAAAAACAAAAAAAACCAGTGAAGAAACGAAGCGGTATATATTTCATGTTCTTAAAAATATTTCCAAGTTATATATATTTATAAATTATTTAGGTCCAATGGGAGCTGGAACAACACGTAATCGAGCACCATCAAGAGATGCCGTAGAACGTGCTTATACTATGAAGAAAGAATTATTATCGCAAATTGAAGAATTGGGAGAACGATTGCCACCAAATACTTTAGATCAATTAATCGATGAGTTTGGTGGACCAGAAAATGTGGCTGAAATGACTGGCAGGAAAGGACGAGTTGTTCAAACAGAAGATGGTACTATTCAATATGAATCCAGATCTGAAGTGGATGTACCATTAGAAACTCTTAATTTAACTGAGAAACAGAGGTACACAATCAATGTTTATTTAAATATTATATTTAAAAAAGGAAATCTACTTTCAGACAAATAAATTTTAATAATTTAATATTGTAATAGATTTATGGATGGTGAAAAAACAGTAGCTATTATCTCAGAAGCAGCTAGTAGTGGTATATCATTACAAAGTGATAGGCGAGCGAGAAATCAGATGCGACGTGTGCATATCACTCTTGAATTACCATGGAGCGCAGACAGAGCAATACAGCAGTTCGGACGAACACATCGTTCTAATCAAGTAAATGCGCCGGAATACATATTTCTTATTTCGGATTTGGCTGGTGAACGACGATTTGCATCTATTGTTGCAAAACGTCTTGAAAGTCTCGGAGCTCTCACGCATGGTGATAGAAGGGCTACAGAAACTAGAGATCTCTCACAATTCAATATTGATAACAAATATGGTCGTGCAGCACTTGAAGCAACAATGAGAACTATAATGAAGTTCGTATATTTTTTATATCTTATTATAAGATATATTTATATATCATTTAATATATTTTAGTAAATTAAAATACTTTTTTATAAAATGAAATATTAGATATGAACCACCGCTTGTACCACCACCACAAGATTATCAAGGAGACTTCTTTAAGGATGTAGCTGACGCATTAGTTGGTGTTGGTTTAATTTGTAATAGCGAGAGTACGCCAGGTGTACTTACATTGGATAAAGATTATAACAATATGTCAAAATTTTTAAATCGTATTCTTGGTATGCCAGTTGATTTACAAAATCGATTATTTAAATATTTCACTGATACTTTAAACGCAATTGTCACACAAGCAAAAAAAACTGGTCGTTTTGATATGGGTATTCTTGATCTTGGTACATCTGGTGAGAATGTAAAACGAGTTAAATTGTATCGTTTTCTGCGGAAACATGCTACTGGAAAGGCACCAACTGAACTTCATGTTGTTCATGTCGAACGTGGAATGAATTGGGCTGAATCGATGGACAAATGTTCTGAATTAACAGGATCCAAGGAAGGATTCTATTTGAGTCATCAGATTCGTAATGGAAAGCAAACTGCAATTCTTGCAGTTTTAGTGGATACTGGAAAAAAGAAATCTGAGAGTAAAAAAGATCAACTATATATGGTTTATAGGTATAGTATTTTTTTCCCTATATTATATAATAAAATTCCATTTATCTATTTATCTAAAATTTGAAAATAAAACAAAGAATTGAATTAATCAGATAATAGGAATCTATAGATTTTCTATTTCTTATTTGTATAATAGTAACTATAATTTTTTTGTATAATAATAGCACATAGTAATATATTATATATATATTAATTATATATAGTACTATAATTCATAAAATTGGATTTTTTTTTTTTTGCTTATTTATTTAAATATGAAGCAATAATTTCATCATTAGATGATAAGATGTATATATCTATTTTATCCCAATCAATTTAGGATGTATATAATTATATTCGTAAAATTATATTATAGAAATAGTATTGTAAATTGTAAATTATTAATTGTACATTATATTCTCTAGAAATAATAATTTACAAATTTTTTCTGAAATAAAAAATTGTTTAATATATAATCTGATATATTATATAATCTGATGTAATATCTGATATAATATAATATATTATATAATCTGATAATATATAATATTTATTATTAATTTAAAATATTTAGAAATTTTATAATATTATGATATTATAATTAAATTTAACTGTTCATATTAGAATAAATTATTACATAAAAAGCAAAAAATTATTAATGCTAAGAAAGAAACATAAGACATAAGTTAATGTAAGTGTTGTATTAGATGGATTAGATTATAAAAATTTAGGAATATATTCCATAAATCAAGTATTGTGTAGTATTAATTCGGATAAATGGAGTTCTATTATAAAAGAAAATAATTAATAATTTAAATTTGTTTGTATTCTGATCTATATTTTTGTTAAAAGACCCAATACAGGATTACAATTAAGACAAGAAACTCTAGGTGAATTAGAGAAAAAATATAAGAAAGTATCTTCAGATGAAGCAGAACCACATTGGTCACAACAATACGAAGCATCTGTAGATACATGTTCACACGCTTATTGGCGTGGCAATTGTAAAAATGCAACTCTTGGTATGGATTGTGAGGTTGGACTTCGAAGACGTTCCTATAATGTATTATCAGGTTCGGTATTAAGCGTATGGAGTCGAGTTGAAAGCATTCTTGCGACACGTTCTGCTCATAATACTAAAATGCAAGTTGTACGCTTACGAACTGGTAAGTTTTATGGAAAATTTAAATGTAATTTTTCAAAACTAAAATTAAAGAATTGTTACAATTTTTTTTTAATTATTTTTTTTTTATTTTTTTATTATAGATGAAGGTTTAAAAATAGTTGGTACTCTTATTCCGAAATCATGTATGGAAATATTACGTCAAGAATTATCATCTGATGCTGAAAATACTGAAGAACTTACATTTTGAACATTTCATTAATTCGCTTTTATAGGTAAGTAACAGGCCTGAAAAAAGATTTATTTGTTGGAAAAATATGGAAAAATTATAATATTTATTTTTTATTAAGAACAGGACCAAAAGAAGCGATTAATATGAATATAACATGGACAAATCCCTCTTCCTAAGTCTTGCGACAAAATTCAGTAAAGAAGAGGGTGCATTTGCAAATGCACGGCAAAGATATAAATATCGATTAATAAGTATGTAGATTCGAAAGTTGAATCTATAACTTTATTTTAATTGCCGTAATGACGAGTGAAACGAATGTGTGCATAAATATTTCCAATCTATGAATTTCATGAGATCGAAACTTATTTTTTCGTTAGGCTTTAACATTTTTAATTTAATCATTTCAACGAAGTATACTTTGTATACCTATTACATCCCGATCAAACAAAAAAACATT